CCACCCAGACCACCGAGGTCACGGACTTGATTCGTGCTGGCTTGCGAAATCCCGTCCTGGTATCCGTGAAAGAGAAGGCCTCCGTGAACACGCCCGCCCGCCTGCAGAACTTCTACAGGATTGTGGAGCCCGAACGCAAGTTTCTGGCCCTGCTGGAGTTTCTCGACTCGCCTGCCACCCGAACCGGGAAGGTGATGGTCTTCTTTCCCACCTGCGCCTGCGTAGAGTATTGGGCGGAAGCCCTGCCGCCACTTCTGCCCAAGCGCACAGTGCTGGGAATCCACGGAAAGATGAAGAACAAGCGGGCCAATGTGGTGGAGAAGTTCCGCAACGAACCGCAGGCAGTGCTCCTCTGCACGGACGTCCTGGCGCGTGGCTTGGACGTGCCCGAGATCGAGTGGGTGGTGCAATGGGATCCGCCCTCGACTGCCTCCAGCTTTGTGCATCGCGTGGGACGCACTGCTCGACAGGGCAACGAGGGCAACGCCCTGGTCTTCCTGCTGCCCAGCGAGGATGCCTATGTGCACTTTCTGAAGATCAACCAGAAAGTGGAGCTGAATGAACTGCCTGCTGAAGAGGCGGAGGATGTCCCCGAGAAGAAGGAACTGCGCGCTGTTTTGGATCAACTGCATCGGCTCCAGGCGGCGGACAAGGGGGTATATGATAAAGGAATGCGCGCTTTTGTTTCCCATGTGAGAGCTTACAGCAAACACGAATGCAGTGCCATTCTCAGGCTAAAAGATCTGGATCTGGGTAGGATGGCCACTGCCTACGGCCTGCTGCAACTCCCTCGCATGCCGGAACTGAAGAACTACAAGGAAGGCGGCTATGTGGCTCCCAGCTTCGAGGTGGATCTCACCAAGCTCACCTACAAGAACGCCCAGAAGGAGCAAGTGCGACAGAAGAAAATGCAAACATACGAGGAAACAGGCAGCTGGCCGGGTCAAAAGCAGCACAAGAAGCGCGTCGAGTCCTGGGATCAGACCAAGAAGGCCAAGCTGGATGCCAAGTCCAAGAAGGAGCTGCGCAAGGCCAAGAAGCAGCGAAAGAAGGCGGCGGAGGCAGAGGCGGGCTCCTCGGGTCCTGGGAAAGGAAAGAAGAGGCAGCAGTTCAGCCAGGAGGATCTGGATGAACTGGCCACCGATATTCGGCTCTTCAAGCGACTCAAAAAGAACAAGATCAGCGAGGAGGAATTCGACAAGGCCATGGGAATCGAGGGCGACAATGAGTGACCTTCATCTGGGGTTGATGTTTATGTACAATTAAAACTTTGTTAAGCAAGTAATTGGCATTTAATACTTTTCTATCAAAACAAGAACAAAAAGTTCTTTAAAAATACATAAGTATATCAAACTTTATTAGACCGAAAATGGAGGTAACAAAACATGGATGTGAAGACTACAACTAAATGAGATGGAATAGGGAACTGAAGCTTAAGCTGTGTTGCCATCGACCACAATTTGGAGGATGATCCGCCGCTTGGGGTCGTAAGAGAAGCCGTTGGTGCGGAACAGATCTGAATCGTAAAAGGGTTTTAGATTCACGATGTCCAGTTGCTTGGCACGCTCGAGCAGATCCCGCTCCATGATCTCCACGTGCGTGGCGCCCGGTCCATCCTTGCAGCGGATGTAGGCCAGCTGATCCAGCGTCAACTGCCGCAGGATAAAGAAGAGCAGCTCGGAGTGGTCCTTCTGGAAGGACAGGTACTTCTGGAATGTGCTGCGCATCTTCTTCATCACGCTGAACTTCTGCGCCTCGATGAAGCTCTCGAGCATCATGCGAATGGCCATGCTGACATCTGCCTCCATCACGTTTTCGCGCAGATGCATGCGAGCATGAGCCTCGGACATACGGATCACGCTCTCGATATGACGCACAGTAATGGGCAGCGAGCCGGTGGCAAAGGACTCCTGGCGCAGCTGGGCGTACATCTTGGCGATCTTGTCCTCGTCGATGTTCTGCATAAATTGAATGGGGAAATGCATTTAAATTGTGATTCAAAAAATCTAATCGTGGACTAACCGTAAGCTTGGGCCGAATGTTCTCCTTGGCGTAGACGATGTATTGTCGCAGGAGATCCTGCGGTATCTCTTCCACCGTCTTCAGCTGCGGCTCCTCCATCTCCGGCTGCTCCTCCTCGCTGGGATGATGCTTCATGTGCGAGTGCACCACGAATTTGGCCAACTGCTGATCCTGCATGGGATCAAACTCGTCTTTGACCACGCACAAGACATCAAAACGGGACAGGATTGGCTCCGAGAGATTCACGTTCTCCGAGAAGGTCATGGAGGGATCGTAGCGTCCGCCAATGGGGTTGGCAGCAGCTATGACGGTGCAACGAGCCTGAAGCGAGGTAACAATACCCGCCTTGGAAATGGAGATGGACTGCTGCTCCATGGCCTCGTGAATGGAGGTTCGATCCTGGTCGTTCATCTTGTCGAACTCATCGATGAGGCAGACTCCCTGATCGGCCAGCACCAGGGCACCCGCCTCCAATGTCCACTCCCGGGAAACAGGATTCCGGCGCACATAGGCCGTTAGACCCACTGCACTTGCTCCCTGTCCGGTTGTAAAAACTGCTCGGGGCGCAACCTTTTCGATGTACTTGAGGAACTGCGACTTGGCAGTGCCGGGATCTCCGCAGATCAGCAGGTTAATATCACCCCTGACCTTGTGCTTCTCGCCGGGATTCTTGGACTCGCCTCCAAAGAGGGCCAAGGCCAGAGCCCGTTTGATATAATCGTGACCGTATATCGAAGGCGCCATTGAGGCCACAACGCGCTCAACGATGCGCGGATCCTTGCTCAATTTCTGAATGGTGGCTATGTCCTCGTCCGTGAGCGACTGCACCACCTGCTTGGAGTCCTTGACAACCACATGGTTGGCAATAATCACGGTGGCAAAAACTGGAAATCCCTGATCTGTGTTCAGCGAGCCATCGTAGTTGTTGGTGTAGATGCCAGTGACCTCCAGTTCATCGCCTGGTTTGCACTGATCGCACAAATCGGACAGCAGGATGACGTCCTTGCTGCGCGGTATGCGTCCAGCTGGAATCCTGCCCGGCGACTCCTGCAGCGTGACCTTCTGGTAGTTGCGGTACAGCGTCTGCTCCATGTTGATGGAGAAGGGACCGGTGCTCTGGCACTCTGGACAGGAACCGGGCTTGACCTCCGTGTTCTGCGACTGGACAAATGGGCCCAGCACATAGCCGCACTTCACACAGTCGTACTTGATCACAGACAGCTGGGGCAGGACACCCGTAGTGGCAGTGACCACACCCAAGGTGCGAACCAACTGATTCAGATGCAGTTTCCTGAATGTGCGCAGCTCCTCGATCAGGGGCAGTTCCGAGATGCGTACGTGGATCTCGGTGGTCACTCGTTCGTAGGTGGGAAAGATGGAGAGCACCATGTCCTTGGCCACCTTGTCGAAGATCTCGAGCATCTGGAAGGGAGCCTCGGGCAGGAAGTAGGCGAGCACATGCTCCTTGTTGGCCAGATCCGTGTAGGAGACCACGAACGAGGACATGTTCTGCTCGCACATCCGCCGGATGCGATCACGGTAGGTGTAGGCGCCCCGCTCGTCCACGAACGTCCTCAGGAAGGACTGGAAGCGATTGGCGATCTCAGTGCGGGGTCCCAGCATACTGACCCACTCCTTGGTCGAGTGTCCCTTGGTGTCCTCTAGATTTTCAATGGATTCCACCATCTCGGTGTCCTCCACCTCGCCGACGGCCGCCTTCTCGCCCGCCCGCCTCTTAGCCCGGGGTCCCATATCGTCCTCGTCATCGGATTGGCCGAACCCAAGATCCCGGTCGTCACGATGGATTCCGGCGGCCCGGTCGCGTCGCCGCATCTCCGACTCGGCGGCAAAGCGGTCGCCCTGGGACATCTCCGAGAAGTCATCCTCGTCGTCCAGCATCGCCGGGTCGTAGTGATCCAGCTCCGGCATGGGACGATAGTCGTTCTCCATGTTGTCCCCGAACAGCTCCTCGCCATCTTCCTCCTCGACCTCATCGCGCACCGTCTGATCGCCCAGGATCTCGTCTTCGTTTTCGAACGGTTCGAAATCGCCGACCGGCGATGTCATTGCCGCTCGAAGATCGCGGCGTTCGGCGGCATCACTGGGCGTGTTTGGCGGCGGTGAACTGGGGTTGTCCATGTCCTGCGTCTGTTGTCCTTGGCGTTTGTTTGGAATCTGCTCTTTTTTTTTTTGCACTACCGATCTTGTTGTGGCGACGCGTGCGAAATGCGCGGGAAAAAGTGTTGCAAAGCGAACTAATTCAGGGCTGCAGGCTTGGTAGTTTCAATGCAAAAAAAAGGAGTGTTTGAAAAGGCTGTTGGGTCTACGACTACTGCAGAACTCATTGGCTAATGATAACAATTTTCGGACAATTTTTACACACAATACAGAGCAATATATATGATTAACATTTTTAAAACATTATTCAATTTAATAGGGCTCCAATATATACAGACTCTTTCGGTAGTAAACTTAGTTTTTCGATTTAACAACGTGTAATCGCAAGCTTTTTTTTTAATGCCAATTTTTGAGGATAATTATATGTATTCTATTTATCATTTTTTAGAATGATAACATTACCGTGGACTAAATATATTCACTTTAACAAATTGCTTTAAAATTGTAATACTTTTAAATAATCAGGGGTTACCAGAAATTTCTTGGGTTGAAAATTTTAATTTACATCACATGTATATATAAACAAAATTTCAATCCAAAAGATTTCTGTGTCGTCGATTAAAAATTAAATGTAAAATAATAAAAACTGTTTTATTCCGCGTAAACATCAATTTATCAGTCACTGAGGATATATGAACTAATTGTTGTCGTGGGTGTTACGGTGCAATACAAAACGTAGCTATCATATATTAACTAATGTTTACTGTACTGCCCTGGTATGCAGCTCCGTGTGAAACGAAATTGGAACTAGTTCCGTTCACCACTGATTCAAAAATTGCAAAGCAGCCCTTCCCGCCTCTTCTGGCATTAGTTTGCTCCCAGCCCTCGACGCACGAATAAGAATTACTTGTGAAATTTGCGAATTGTTTGCTAAAAATCAAAATGGTCCTGGCAACTTTATCCGCGGGTGTTATTGCTGTAAGTATGCCAGACTGAAGTCTAAAAATTAGTTTGCTAACATCTCAAACTACCGGGCGCAGCGCATTATGCATGGCGAGGTTGTCGACAAGCCGGTGCTGCAGATCCTGGCGATCAAGAAAATCAACAGCACTGCGGATGCGGAGCGCTACCGCATCCTGATCTCCGACGGCAAGTACTTCAACAGCTATGCCATGCTGGCCAGCCAGCTGAACGTGATGCAGCACAATGGAGAGCTGGACGAGTTCACCATCGTGCAGCTGGACAAGTATGTGACCTCCATGGTGGGCAAGGACGGAGCTGGCAAGTGAGTGGATGGTTAAACTTACGGGTGTTCGATATTATAGTAACCCAATCTTCATATTAGGCGCGTTCTCATCATATCCGAGTTGACTGTCCTTAATCCGGGTGCCGAGGTGAAAGCCAAAATTGGCGAGCCCGTGACTTACGAGAATGCCGCCAAGCAGGACCTGGCGCCCAAGCCGGCCAAATCTACTTCTCAGCCCGTTGCCAAAAAGGAACCAGCCTACAACAACAACAATAATAATGTAACAATGAATTCCTCGCTTAACAGTGGCATGACTCATCCGATTTCCAGCCTGAGTCCCTACCAAAACAAGTGGGTGATCAAGGCACGCGTCACCTCCAAGTCGAGTATTCGCACCTGGAGCAATCCCCGCGGCGAGGGCAAGCTCTTCAGCATGGATCTAATGGATGAATCGGGCGAAATTCGTGCCACGGCCTTTAAGGAGCAGTGCGACAAGTTCTACGACCTCATCCAAGTGGACAGCGTCTACTATATTTCCAAGTGTCAGTTGAAACCGGCCAACAAACAATACTCGACGCTGAACAACGCCTACGAGATGACCTTCTCCGGCGAAACGGTTGTCCAGTTGTGCGAGGATGCCGACGACGATCCCATTCCGGGAATTAAGTACAACCTAATTCCCATTTCCGAGGTGTCCGGGATGGAGAACAAGGCATCGGTGGATACTATTGGCATTTGCAAGGAGGTGGGCGAGGTGCAGTCTTTCGTTTCCCGCTCCACAAACAAGGAGTTTACGAAGAGGGACATTACGCTGGTTGACATGAGCAACTCGGCCATCAGTCTCACACTGTGGGGCGACGAAGCCGTCAACTTTGACGGCCATGTGCAACCTGTGATTCTGGTCAAGGGATCACGCATCAACGAGTTTAATGGCGGCAAGTCCTTGAGCCTCGGCGGTGGTTCCATTATGAAGATCAACCCGGACATCCCCGAGGCTCACAAGCTGCGCGGCTGGTTCGACAACGGAGGTGGTGACAATATCGCCAACATGGTCTCGGCCCGAACTGGCGCAGGTAACTTCTCCGCCGACTGGATGACTCTGAAGGATGCGCGGGCTCGCAACCTCGGCAGCGGCGATAAGCCCGACTACTTCCAGTGCAAGGCGGTGGTGCACATCGTCAAGCAGGAGAATTCCTTCTACCGCGCCTGCCCCCAGAGCGAATGCAACAAGAAGGTCGTTGACGAGGGCAACGATCAGTACCGCTGCGAGAAATGCAATGCACTGTATCCCAACTTTAAGTACCGCCTGCTTATCAACGTGAGTATGCGCAGGATAAAATCAATTGGCTTGAAATACTTAAAACTAATATATTTTTCTGCAGATGAGCATCGGCGACTGGACTTCCAACCGCTGGGTCAGCAGCTTCAATGAGGTTGGCGAGCAGCTTCTCGGACATTCTTCGCAGGAAGTTGGCGAGGCCCTTGAGAACGATCCAGCCAAGGCCGAGCAGATATTCTCCGCCCTCAACTTCACTTCGCACATCTTTAAGCTGCGCTGCAAGAACGAGGTTTACGGCGACATGACCCGCAACAAGCTCACTATTCAATCCGTGGCCCCCATCAATCACAAGGAGTATAACAAGCACTTGCTTAAGGAGCTGCAGGAGCTCACTGGCATTGGCTCTTCCAACTAATTTTCATGTGCAGCTCGCTTACACACATATACCATAAGCTATGAAAATAAGCTATTCATTAAATTACATAAGTTAATTCAAAACATTGTGAATTGGGTCTTATCTCAGCCACTTTTCTGTTCTAAACCGATATATATATACTCTTCTTCGCGGATTTGTTATTGTGAAAACCATAGAATTATAGCATGATAAAATAAATATCTAAGCATCCAAGGATATTAAAATGTATTTTTTTATTCGCTTGTCAAAGTCCTTAAAGAAGACACATTTTGGAATGTGGAAACTTAAAAGGGTTTTCCAAGCTTAATTCAACCCAACCTGCAGCTTTCGAACATACAATTGTTGAGTTTGCTTATGCCATCACATAAATATATATATTAATTCTCAGAGTATATACGCAATATTCTTATGTGTTTATAGCTCAAAAGTTGACAGATTCGGTTTAGTAAGGTAGAAATCGGAACACGAAGGGCATTAATACGTTTCTTGAAACATTGTGTAGCTAAACAATATTTTTATTCACTTGCTAAGCTTTTAGCTTTTTTTGTTATTTTGTTTTGATTTTTATACCCTTGCAGAGGGTATTATAATTTCAGTCAAAGTTTGCAACGCAGTGAAGGAGACATCTCCGACCCTATAAAGTATATATATTCTTGATCAGCATCACTAGGCGAGTCGATCTAGCCATGTCCGTCTGTCCGTCTGTCCGTCCGTCTGTCCGTCCGTCTGTCCGTCTGTCCGTCTGTCCGTCCGTTTATATGCAAACTAGTCTCTCAGTTTTAAAGCTATCTGCATGAAACTTTCCCAAAAGTTGTCTTTCTATTGCAGGTAGTATATAAGTCGGAACGAGCCGGATCGGACGACTATAGCATATAGCTCCCATAGGAACAATCGGAAAAATAAATAAAAAAAAATTATAACTTTGCTGTTTTTTAATTTTTTGTTTAGTTCTTCGACATTTAGTAATGGTTAAATATTTCCGATTTACGGTTTAAATTTCATCAAAATCGGACGACTATAGCATATAGCTCCCATAGGAACAATCGGAAAAATAAATGAAAAAAATTATAACTTTGCTGTTTTTTAATTTTTTGTTTAGTTCTTCGACATTTAGTAATGGTTACATATTTCCGATTTACGGTTTAAATTTCATCAAAGTCGGACGACTATATCATATAGCTCCCATAGGAACAATCGGAAAAATAAATGAAAAAAAATTATAACTTTTCTGTTTTTTAATTTTTTGTTTAGTTCTTCGACATTTAGTGATGGTTAAATATTTCAGAATTATGGTTTAAATTTTATCAAAATCGGACGTCTATATCATATAGCTCCCTTAGAAATAATAAAAATATATAAAATAGCTATCAAATAATTGAGCTGCAAATCATCATAGCTTCAATGTTTTTAAACATATACGAAAGTAAATCATAATTTTAATGTTTTCAAAAGTGTTTAATTCTTGCAATAGCTGCAAGGGTATATGAACTTCGGCTTGCCGAAGTTTGCTTTCTTTCTTGTTGTTGATTCATATTCCCGCCAAAATTGAATCAGCCAATCCGCGCTCGTGTATTGATAAGAATTGTCGCCCGTTTGGCTATTTAAGCAGACGCTGGCAAGTGTTTGATTGCATTCATTCTTTAGTGGTCGCTGCACTAAGTACAAAGCGCTTAATAAAAAAATAAGCTCCAAATTTTCTATTTAGACCACACGATAATAGAGAAAAATTTGTCTTAAAATGAAGCCAATAGAAATTACTGTAAGTACAAAATATGCACAATTAAGACACATTCAGATGATTAATTAATAATTTAATTCGATTTGGCAGCCAAAAAATAACAAGATTTCAATGTATCTCAACCGGAAACGATTTTATGAGTTCAACTAATTAATGTACATTTTTGGGGATTCCCAGCCTATTTCCAGTTTGCTATCAACGGAGCTCGAGAATCCAACCATAAGAGCCCGCGTTACATGGAAGTCTGAGATCACACCCTGGCAGTCTTTTATCAGAGAAGGAATAATCTTCCATATGCATTTGCTGGATGAATCAGGCCAAGTTACTGGAGTTTTATTTGATTGCGAGTGCGAAAAGTTTTATCATCAGATTCAAGTAGGAAACGTATACGTTTTCTCTAATTTTGTTCAGGAAGACGAAGTGAGGTTCAGAGTTCTGGATCACACCCGTCAAATTGGATTCGGTTTTAATACAGTTGTTCAACCAAATGTCGATGTTCCAGAAATTTCCAAAATCAAGTATGAATTCGTGCCGCTTTCGAAGATTTCTACAAAGCCGGATGGGGATCCAGTCGACGCAATTGGAATCTGCACTGAGGTGCGTGGTGTAGAAAACCGAGGAGGTAATATAATTCGAGAACTTTTGCTTGTGGACGCCGACTACCAGAAAATCATGTTAAATCTGTGGGAAAAGACCGCCGAAAAATTCGAGGGCGCTGTTGGGGATGTGATCGTTGTCAAAGGAGCACGTGTCCAGGAACACAACAACGAAAAAAAAATGAACGCCAGCTGGTACACCATGGTGCAGATCAATCCTGAAATTCCAGAGGCCATTCAAATGCGAGAATGGTACGGAATTAAACAAGAAATTTTTTAATATTGTTAGCATGTATAGTATATAATAACCCAGACACTGGTTTGATAAACAGCTACTTACATACTTGTGCAATAAATAAATTGAAAATTTATAGAATGAGGTGCATTTTAAATTCTTATGGTGATGCAAACAAGTATTTTTGAGCTCAAAACCTCACATCCACTTTCTTCTCACTTTCTGTAGCGATCCAAACATTGGCAAAATTATACTTCATATAACAAAAGAATCTTCTAGATTTGGATTTACAGTCACGTCCGTACGAATGTGAATACCGGTAAGTCGATTTATTGTCGATCAAAATGTTCTTAGGCTTAGTGCCGACCACAGTCAAACAAAATTGCAATCTGCAACCTACACAAACGCTATGCCTTTGTTTGTATGGGAGAAACTATAGTATATATGAATAAAGCTTTTACGCCAATAGCTTTGCTAGCTAAAAAGTTTACTGATTGGGTTAGTCATACACAAATCGGGAACCGGAGTGCATTAAACTAATTTGATTAAACTTTGCGTTTCTTTATCTTCCAATTAATGTGAAAACAGGTATCAGTTTTTACTCCATACGGCAATAATAAAAAAATGGACCCAGAAATTACGGTAAGTATATACATACATATATATATTTCCAGATTTAGAAAAGACGTAAACACAAAATGTCTATCTAATTATTGTACTTTATTCTGGATATACAGCCCATTTCCAGTCTGCACCCACTCCGAATTTCATCCATAAGAGCCAGGGTTTCCTACAAGACAGAAATAAGCTCCTGGAATAATGGTGACAAAGATGGGAAAATCTTTCTTATCAATTTGATAGACAAATCTGGTGAAATTACTGCCCTTGTGTTTAACGATCTGTGCATGAAGTTCTACCGCCAGATTCAGGCAGGCAGTGTATACGTGTTCTCCAATGTAGAGGCAAGGCCAGCGCATGACAAGAACAAAGTACTGGGTAACAGCCTCCAGATTTTGTTCCTGGATAATACAGTTGTACAGCGGGATAATACAGTTGTACAACTGGAGATTCCCCAAACAAAATATAACTTCGTTGATCTTTCCGCTGTTTCTAAAATACGGGACGGAGAACCAGTCGACGTAATTGGAATCTGCACTCATGTGCCTGATTATGAACACCGTGGAGATTATACAATTCGAGAAATTGTGCTTTTGGACCCTGACTACCAGGAAGTCATGTTAAATCTGTGGGAAGAGCAGGCTGTTAACTTTGATGGTGATGTTGACGATGTGATCGTGGTCAAAGGAGCGCGTGTCCGGGAACATAACAACGAGAAAAAACTGAACGCCGGCTGGTACTCCATGGTGCAGATCAATCCTGATATTCCAAATGCCATCGGAATGCGAAAATGGTACGAAAATCAATAAGAAACCTCTAATATATTGTTAATTGTTATGTTTGCTGAATAAATACTGGAACAGCCGAAACAGAAGTAGCAAATTGCTGTAATTTAAATATAAATTCCTTGGAACAAAGTATGTTTATTTGTCGAGAAATAATTGTACAATAAATAAATAGGGTAGAACGTAATAAAATAAACGCCCAAACCAAACTGCACTTGGCATTGGGACTAAACTAGAGATTATCCACCTAAGGGTCTAGGAAAAGATTACATCTACATAAACAGAGAAAAAATCATAACAATATCAGTTCCCTAGTGTCCACAATTTTGTAGTCAAAATAATCTTAATCATATCAGGCGAACACTTTAGCCTACTGATATGAAGAAAATTATTTTGATTGCTTTAACATAATTTCAAAGCGCATCAAATAGCGCTAAATTCATCTGAATAAAATCCGAATCGGTGACCAATTTCGGGGACATTTTTTCTCTGTCAAGATGGGGATGAGACTATAGAAACCCGTTGACATGAGCAAGGGACTTGACTACGTACGGCTAACCGACCAGAGACGCTCGATCGTGAACACTTAACCTAGATCTCAGATAACGTTGGGTTGGGCCCCCAGATGGAGCCTAGTTGGACAGCTGCTGCTCTCCCTCCGCGGGCACCACGTGCTCATGGTCCTCCTTGGACAGGCTGCGCTGCTGCTCCTCCACCTGCGTCGCCCGCTTGGCCTGCTCCTGCCGCCTGGCCACGCCCTCCATCGACTCCCGCAGCGAGTCGATGTCCAGAGCGTTCTCGTCCTTGTCGCCATCCTGCTCCTGCCGCTGGCCACCGGCGAACTTGGAGAAGTAGGTGAGCGACTTCATCAGCTGGTAGCTCTTCGAGATGGGTATGTTCGAGTCGTAGACGCTGGTGCTGGAGCTGCAGTCCACGTAGAACCACCAGTTGCACTTGAGGATCGTCTGGTCGAAGAGGGTGTTCTCCGGGCAGAGGAACGACTTCCGCACCATGCCGTCGTCGGTGAGGGCGCACACATGGAAGACCTTGAGGGAAAAAGGTGAGAATAATAAAATTAAAACTAATTCCACAAAGTACATATAACCCGAATAACTTACCATGCATCCCAGTTCGGTGTCGGCGTAAAGACCTGGAAAGTGCTTTTGCTTTGCACAGGAGAAACTCGTCGGTGGCAGGTCCACTTTGGATTTGAAGTTGTCGTCGAAGTTCTTGTCGTAGCCCACGGGATAGTATTCCTTGGGTGCGTTCATGACCTACAAAAAAAACGAGAAATGGTAGAAAAAAATTAAGATTCAGAGTAGCGTAGTTCCCATTAAAGCACAAAATTCCTAATCTCTTTAATCATAATTAATAAAGCTTTTAAAATTATTACGTATCCGCCACGTTGTGCCTTTTGTGAATTTGTTAGTTCAAGGTCGAACTTATATATACTGTGTTTGGGCTAGGAAATTCATTTCAAATAAAGTCTTAACTAAGTTGGCTGTGCCTTACCATTTTACGCATTTGTTTTTAATTTATAGTTAAGTTTCGTGTGTAAGGAAATACATGAAATGGTGTTTATGCACATACGTATTTACCCATTTCATGAAATTATTGCATGAAATGGCTATCGCATAAACACTATAATATAAGGGATAACAATTGTTTAAATATATATATCAGATCGAAAATATCTTCCACACATAAGTAAACTTTTTCCAAAATATTACGTATACAGCCCGTTGTTCACTTTTTGATTTTGTTGGAATTAGTTTCTTAAGGCAGTCTTACAGCTAAAATTAATTATTTAATCTTTTTAAAAAATTACATACATATATGGTACTTAAAAAACTTAGCAAATATTTATTAAATGATGTGGATCACATATGTATATCACAATAACAGCCCAACTCCAAGCAAAATACCCACCTTGGACACCTTGTGCTCGGCCAGCGACTTCTGCGGACGCGGCGTACTGGTTGTCGTTGTGGTCGTCGTAGTCGTAGTCCTCACTGTGGAGGTGCGCATGAACTCCTCCCGCAGTTTGGCCGCCAACTGAGCCCGGTGCTCGGCCTTCAGCTGCTGTTCCCGGACGTAGATGGCGTGCTTAATGGTGTCCACTGTGACGTTGGCAGCTGCAGCCAGTTCCTCAACGGTCACGTCCTTCAGGTCGAACTTGGGCTCCTCGAACTGCAGGTAGTTTGGATGACTGGCCACCGTCCGGTGCTCCTTGCCCTCGTTGGCGATCCGGGCGATGGACTGGGGCATCGCCTGGAACACGGGCACTGCCACGGGCTGCGACACCACCGGATTGGCCACGTGGAAGGTACGGTTCGAGTGCTGTCCAAAATAGGGAGGATAAATGTTATTAACAGAAACCGAAAAAATCGTTTAAATTTATTGAACTATACCACTTATACCATTCAAGAAGTATTAAAATAATGCATATCCCTTCAAACACGATTGTCCGGAATATAGATAAGATTTAAATGAGTACTTGTTGGTAGTACAATAAAGAATATAAAGGTATACAAAATATTTTTTATAAGACTTTCAAAAAATCGTTTTAAGTTTAACAACGTCATTTTAGTCGATTGTGCATAACAGTCGACAATAAATTTGATTTTATGGTTAACAATAATACTTGTTAATAAACAGAAACATCTATCAATAATTAGTTTTAAAGTTTTTTTTACATTTGTTCTTCTAATATAAAGAGCTACGACTTTTTATTTTGTTTTGCTAAAGTAATTCCAACCAACCAAATAGTACTCTTTAACTTAAAAATCCATTGAATCCCTAGTACATAGTAACTCACCGGCTTATCGATGGCACTTATCAGCTTGTTGTTGATACTGACCCGTGGCTCCGGGGTGTCCACGGCCACCCGTCGCTCCGCCGTAGTGGGAGCCGGAGCGGAGGCCTGAGTGGCGGCCACTTGCTTCTGGGGAATGGGTCGGAAGGCGGGAACTCCCAATGGCAATGGACGAGCCTCGGTCATGAGCTGTTGCTGTTGCTGCTGCTGCTGCTGCTGCTGTTGTTGCTGCTGTAGTAGCAACAATTGTTGCTTTAGTTTTAGTTGCTGTTGCAGTTTCTGCTGCTGCAGTTGCAGTTGCTGCTGCTGTTGCACCTGTTGCAGGTTGAAGGGCGCTGCTCCGGTGGACCGTGAACTTATACGCTTGTCGGGCAAAGGGTGTTGCACTGGTTGATTGACCTACCGGAAAAAAGTGATGTAAGTATTATAGCTTTAATAACATTTATAAACCTCACCTGCTGCTGAGTAGAGGGAAGTACGCCCACCAAATCCGGAGGAGCTCCGTTCTTGTAGCTGATGGCACGCCGGCGGTCAGGCTCCGTGTTGCCCAGCGATTCCGGGAAGCCCAGCTCGTCGCCCAGACTGAAACCTGCAATGGCCAAGGGTTTTGGGTTAGGTAGGGCCCCCAACGACCCCATCAATCACTTCAATCGTGGCCAAGGGTTGGGCAATGAGGTGTTAATTAATGGCTTTTGTTTTACCCTTCACGTGCCTATGGTAAGGGTCTTATCGAAGTCTTAAATCTACACGGCTTGTATGTACAAAGGGCCTATAATAATCCATTAACAAAAGGGGTCGGTGAATACTAGTAAAATTGGTTTTGTAAACATTTTTTATATACGTAATCAAGTAAAACAACTTTTATCATTTGACTACAATTTAAAAACGCTATAGACCTGTGCAAAAACCAATTGGATGTTTGTATTTATTGAGATGAAGGCCCGAGCAGCTCGTTAAATTATCATTAAGTTGAGATTTAATTGGTGTTAATAATATACATTTATTCTACCAAAATTTTTTTTTTAGTTTTACGTTTAGAAATTTAATATTTTTTTTGTATGTATTTATTTTCAAAGTGATTCTTAATCTTGATTTTTATTGCAAATTTTTGGTACGTTTTAGAACGAGTTTAATATTTGTTTCACTTACATTCTTAAACAGTCTCAAAAGTCAATCTTTAAAAAATTTGTAAAATTAATTAAAACATGAAAGTCATTGTTTTATTTGATAAGATATATATCTTTTAAAGTTTGTTAATTAAAAGTTACTCATTTGAATCGTTATGCTTCGGATCTTTTTGTGTTGCCCAAAGTCCAAAGACCTTCTGGAGTCTGATCTAGCTTTAAAGTGAGCAACCCCTGGTTATACGCCCGTGGCAATTGAACTACAGGTCAATCCACAAGTCGTTTTCTTGGTCTGCCTCTTCGTCTCAGGCGCTCCACTTTATCTTTCAGTATCGAGCTCAAGTCATTGGCTGCTATATGTAGCTACCACTGACATTGGCATTAATGCATAATGACTTACTTAATCGCTATTCGCGGTGCGTTTGAGTTCAGATCGAGTTCGATTACTTGACCAATTAGTTGCACTTGAAAATTGGAGGACTGGGAGCCTTGGAAACACTACGTACTCTACATTCACCTTGAACTATTTCGATGCCTTATGTACACTGAGAGAAGGGGGGATGGAGGATGATACGGGGCGGTGCAAATGGGGTGACAGAACAGTTGAGAGATTTACCTAAACCGAAATGGGCCTTTAGGCCACCCAAATTTCGTACACGAAACAGTCCAGACTTTTTGAAGTTACAATCGAGTATGAACCCGAAATCGGACGATAAAACACACGTCCCGCAAGCCAATCCTATAAATAAAGAATAGAAAAAGCAAACACAGAATAGGATAGATCTTTCGTATAATACAACAGTAATGTTTAAAATTAGTACAACAAGGGATTAATGCCGAGTTTGAGTATGTTTTTCGAGGTTTTTTTGGGGATTGAAATGGGGAAGGACGGGAAAGCTTCTGTGTTGTTTTCTCTATGCAACATTTAACCATAACCAAAAACTAAGCTTATAAAAGATTAGTAACCAACAGTATATTGTTATTGCTGTGTTAAAGTGGGTGGGGCTTTTAAATCTGGCATGTGTTGGATCACATTTCGTCGTTGGCATAAATTAATAAAATAAATTTTACTACTGTCAAGCATGAAGTTTTATAATGAAAACCGGCGCAAAGTTTTAATTTTATCCCGCATCGAATCAAATTGCGTAGCGGATGTCTTGATTGATGTGCGGATTGCCCGCTCAAATCTCACATACACATCTGCCTCGGCTGGTGGAATCCGAGGTATGTGTGCTTTTATTATCTGCCATCTGCCAACTCGGGGTGTGACCGCAGAATGACCCACTTTGGAGCAGAGAAGATGGCCCAATCCGACCGCAAGACATACGAGCAATAAAACCAGGCCGCCAGCATTCTCCCACCGATCTCAACGTGGCCATAATCGATTAACGATGCCGTGAGCAGACCCATTATGGACCGACAAACACCACTTCCTTGTGAGCGGGGTAAGCACAAACCAATTGAAACCCAAGCCCATTAGTGCCATAGGTTACGCATTAGCCGGGGTTAGCCAAGATTTATAGAGAGCAACCCCGTTGACCTGAACCAAGTTGCAGACTTCAATCTGAATTGCGCGTCTTGGGTTCAAATTAAATTGTTAGCATGTCAAGTGGGACATGTAATACGTGTTTCGAATGAGTTCTTTCAAAACACCCCTCCACTCGGCGTGTCGTGCATCCATATTCATAGAGCAGCATTTGAAACCGATTCTAAGGCGGCTAATGGCGGGCCATTATGTGCGAGTGGCACATGTTGCCAATTGTGGTAATCGCTTTAGATGCTACACTTGACAAAAAATTAATGAAAATTGGACCTACTTTATTGTAAAATGATGGGGAACTGTGATTTAAGGTATCTTACTTACATCATTTAAATAAAATTAATTATTTTATTGGTAATAAAAGGAAAGTTAGTACCAAAAGGTATATTTAAAAAAACACAAAATATGTTTATTATTTCATTGAAATGGTTAAATCAACAGAGTAAATTGCTTACTTTACCTTCTGTGTAAAAATTGCTTTTGTATAAGTGTAAATATGTGTACTTAAGTTTTTCTGGATAGAAGTAAATTAATTCGAAACTCTTTCGAAATCAAGAACATGTTTAATTGTTTTGTATGTTAAGCAAATTCCAAAAGGCCGCAGTTAAGGTCGTTTTTTCACAGTGCAGAGCCGCTACGGGTCGGATCGGAGTCCGGTCCAACAGTTTGGCTTGTGGGTTCAAGGAAAATGGAGCTGGTTTTATAACCGCCCGCCTAATGGAGTGTCAGCATGCCAAGGCAACGTGTGGCCATCTCCCATCTCCGTGGGATCAGAGTGCGCAGTCGATGTGGTCACTTCCTCGTCTTTGTCATCGTCATCATCATCAGGTACACCACTCAATTACTCCAAGTCCACAATCGATTATCCCTGCTCTCCCCGAACGGTAGATAATCGAACTTTTACTTGCAAAATTTGCATTACGCATTCGCCGTGTGGGCGAGCAGTTATTTTAATTGTGCCTGCAAATGGCCAGCACGGCGACAAATTGGAGAAGGGAAAACGGCAATTAGCTAGGGAAAACTAGGCAAATAACGCGGCATGCCTGAGAGCAATATGAAATATGAAATTTGCTTCGAATTGTCAGTGGGGGGGTTTATCCAGCGACATTTGCAGCTAGTCACAGGCGATCGACAAGCGCTTTCTCTCATCTCGGGCATAAAATGCGAGTTGCGGTGGGCTGACGACTTGTCGTGGCTACCCGGCATCAAGTGGTCAAATAGAAATTCAAACTAAACAAATAATGAGGCATAAATATGCACGTGGGGCAGTGTCGGATGGCCGGCAAAGGCCAGGCAATGTTTAGTTACTTTCCTCAAAGTCTATGTCCCGCTTCCCCTGATCGGTAAGCCTCATCTAGTTAGCACCTCTGCCCGCGAAAGTGGGTCATCTGGTCTCAAAAAAACATTGATATTAATTGCTCACTCGAATGCTAAGACAGAAATCGAAACCGAACCTGAAACAGAAACTGAAACTGAATCCGAAACCGAAACAGAAACTGGCTGGCCAAGCTCAGCGTTAATTCAATTTGATGATCTCCCCTGGCCGACGCAAATGCAAATATCGTGTATAAATTATCAAACATCTGCCGTCCTAGGCCGTCCATTCATTGTGGCCGAACCTTAACCCAAACCTTTGAGACAACGCCTCTTTAAGCGGTTTCCCTTTTTATATTCTGCACTCATATTTTAAGGCTTTAAGCATTCCATTGTTGGCAAAACGTTTTACGGTCAATCTTTTTATCTCATTGTCAATGATTTTTTTTCGCGAAGGCTCTTTGGGCGACAACCTTTCCCTTTTTTTTCGCTGACTGTGCGAAACTGACTGTGCGAAACTTTCCATTTCTCCTTGATTTACTTAGGCAGGCCCAGTAATGATATTTGTTCTCATTGTAAATGGTATAATGATAGAAGAAAAGCAATTAAATTGTTGATTGAGTTTTACGAGCTGCCAATGACCTTGCCATGGTGTTTTAATTGAGTGATATAAAATGAGGAGACTGGCTTGAATTGACTTGTATCCAAAGATTGACTATTACGGCTTGTTCTATTCCATGAGTGGGAAAATCAAAATGTAATTTCGGGAATTTAACGATCTGCCCATGACCTTGCCCCTGTGACTCGAATAAGCAATCCGAGTGAAACCATTATCGCTTCGGGGGAGATTGTTTCGGCTTGGATTGTCCAAATGGGCTTCAAAGTGTCAGCCCCAAAACGCGGTTTGCTAATCCCCCTTTGCCGGTTAATTATGTTAATTGAACGATGGTCTTGACAGTGAGCGATAGGCCCAACAAAAGAGCTCCGGCTGACAAAACTTTTGACAAAGCCACTTCAAGCCATCGAATTAAATTGCAATTTGATCATGTGTGTGCGTGTGGGCCAAACAATCGTCTGCTCACAAAGGTGTGGAATGGAATGCAAGACTTTGGATGCCCAGAGATCGGTGCAGCATCGCCGAGATGAAGGTCTTACGTGAGCGGGTTGCGTGCTCGGAAATAATGAACCAGCACACTTGACAACGCAAGAGAAACACTGTTTATACTATCTGAAGATGGTCCCAAACAATAGAAGCGATAATCATGCTTAAATTTATTCCTAATTGCGAACAAAACGAAACAAAAAGTCTGAATTGGGGAACTCAAAAAGCGAAAGGACACGACCCTTGTGTGGGAATAAATACAACCGGAAGCCTCTTCATGCACTGCTTAAAATTACTTCAACTTCGAGCTTAAGAATTTCACCAACTATATTTTAGACTTAACATTGAAATCATTGATATTTTATTTGGAAAACATATGCTATACACAAATAAAAGGAATAAAATAGAAAGTAATTCTCTTTATAAATCAATAGTTAAAGTTTCAGTTTTGTATGCAGTTATTAAGAAAAGGCAATACCATTTAGCATTTAAACAAACATAATTAATTTTTTATAAGTATTTGTTAAGCATATGCCACAAAACTTTAGTCCCACGCGACTTTTCAGTAATATTCAAGTAGCTCTAAAACAATATTACATAATTATGGCAACTTGTATTTTTTTTTACACTACCCAGCTATTTGCTTGAAAATTAAATTGCAACATGCCTAGTACAAAGTAGAAAGCGCTTTCAATATGTTTTGTTTATGTCTTAACAAATTAATACAAAATATGTGCTTTAGAATTTATGGGATATTTTTTTCCCCGGTGCACAGATGCCTGTTTGCCTTTCACTTTGCAAAATACCAGCCCGAAGAGCCTTTTACTGACTGACCAATGGTATGACAATGCAATTTCTTTCTTTTTTTTATATTTCCCAGTACTTTTGGCCCCTTCGGCAGATGCAGCAATGCATTTCAGCAGGGCTCCAAGGTTTATTCAAGAAAAACATTCGTTGGCGTCAGCTAATTGCCGTTGAAAGTATGTACATTTTGCCAAAAACCATTTATATTATTTTACGTTTGCTTGCCAGACGGGGCGTATACTCACTAACATATTGGCTATTAGCTGTCACTTTTGGCCAGGAAGGGTCGTCTTCACACAACGCTGCCAAGTGTTTTAGGCCAGAAGTATTGCATAAAGCTCTCAGACATCGGTTCGAATGTGGGTTATATAAAAAGACAGAAAGAGCAACAGCATCAGAAACAACTGAAGATGCCTCCAAAGCGCTGCGTCATTGGCCACAAAACAGATATTGAGTTTGAGCCAAACACGAGCGAAAAGAAAAAAAAAAGAAAACACCAAAGAGAAACATCGCTGGCCAGCGCATCCCAATAAGTTGGGGTACAAATCGGCGTTATATTGATGAATCATGGCCCACGATTGCCGGACGCTGTTCGCTGAGTTTTATGAAGCCATCAATGGGAATATCAAAAGATTTGGGCAGGGCAATGTCGGTACATATTTGGGCGATGTGTGTAAGCATCAGTTCCTGCTGCCCATGGATCGTTTCTTTTTGGCCAAGCAAAGGTCAGCAAACACACCATTAACTTTATGCAAATTGGGCAGCGAAAATTGTCGGAATTAACACCCGGCAATCGACGACTATTGCTCTGATCTTGACCGATATTCTGGCCTAGGACCGGTCGTTACCATAACGAGGGGAGATCGGAACATCGTAACACTCAGTCAAATAAAACAGGCGGAATTGTAGTGCGAAGGCTATGCGGGGCTAATTTATGTCTGCAAATTTGCAAATTGATTAATTGGCGAATGGTTGGTAAATGGATAAGAGTAACAGTCTGCCCTTAATGGAGCCACCTTCAAGCCAGATACACACATGTACACACATGTGTATCTGTTCTTAATGAGCTGCACATTACTTCAGGTCAAGAATGCTCCATGGGCACCGTGACTAACACAAAACCAATCCGGTTTCTTCGGCAAGGTTTTGCATTAAGCGAACAGATTGGGGCGCAGACAATGAACCAAAACTGAATCCATATAAAAAGCGATGCCAATAAACTGCAGCCGCGGATCGGTGGCTAAATATGCATATACAAATACGAAGATAAGATTGCTTAAATTGCTATTTGCCTTTTGTTTTGCACTTTTTACATGAATTGGATTTTTTTTGAATTTTAATTGATGTTCAAGTCATCATGTCTAGATCTAGATTACTATTCAAGCTAAATGACTATTTTTTTTGGCGCGCTTTTGGGTGAACGATTGGTCAATTATTGACTAAATTTGGCCAATTTCCAAGAGAATCATCTTGGTCGGCAACCTGTTTTGGATCTGCAGTCTAGTATTACAGCATATCCAGGTGTCATAAGACTCTCCATAAAAGATAACGGTTGTCTCGAGTCAAACGACTTAAGACACAAACTCGAATCCAAGAAAAGTTCGTCGCCTAAGTCATTTGTTTTTCAGCCTGCTGCCAACCAGAATTAAATAATTGTTATCCGACACCCGTGAAAAGCAATTAAAGCCCGACCACAACAGCAATAACAACAACAACAGAAACGGCAATTATTCCGAAAAATTCAAAACGGGAAACATGAAAACTGCATTTACTCACTTGCCGCCTGCATGATCAGAAAGCCAATCACAAAAAAGTTCATTTTTGCCACTTTTTTTTCTCGTTCGAATTTTGCTTGAAAATTTCTTTCTTCGGAAATTACGATGATTAGTTATTTTCGTCGGATGCGTTTAATTTATCTTTACGATTTTCCTTGCACGCTCGTTCACTCACTTGGGGGGAAAACGAAAACTGAGGAAAACACAATAAACTTTTATTATCGTTGTGTTCGCGACTCGTGCCGCAGATCGGAAGCGGATAGTTGATTTAATTAAATTTAATGAACTTATTATTTTTATCAATTATTTCAGCATTGCGGTTGGACGAAAGAAAAGCAAAGCGCGTAAATTGAACGAATATACAGAAAACATATATAAAAACCAAAATAAAACCGGTAGACATAAGAAACGCAAATGACCGGGGTAAACACTCTCACTCTCTCTTTCGGCGGTAAAAGTGAAGATGGGCGGACGGAGGCGGCGACACGACTGAGATGTGCCGATAATCGCGCTGCGCTACGCGTGCGTAGGCGCCGGCAGAGGCGGTGGCAGCGGCCGTGGCAGAGGCAGCGGTGGCCTGGAACACTATATTTCCAAATTTACCAAGAAAAACCTAAGCTTAGTAAAATATAAATACTGTCTCTAACCTACAAAGAATATATAATTATAATATATAATATAATTTGATCTATGTACAACATTTATTTTATTTAATTTATTTGTTTTTTTTTTCTAAGTATGCATTTTTTTCATTTTTTGACAGAAATAATCGAATTGTATGAATGCACAAAAATGAATTAAATTTTCGGTAATCGTTTTTTTAAGTTTGAGCATTTTTCTATAATAAACTTTAACCACATGCATTTGAAACTATAAAAATTTCCGCTTTAATATTTTACCAAATTGCATTGGAATAATAAATTCAACCAAAAGTGTAGCTTAGGTAATGGATAGGCTTCTAGTTAACATTAAACTTTGTAAAGATATTGTTTTTTTTTTTTAATTTAGGTAAAGTTTACTTGAGAGTAAGTCGTAAAGGTTTGCAGTTTGGATTACATTTATTTAATACGTTTTAATTACTTTTTAAAGTTTGCAATTCGAAATACAACTAGTTCTAAGTATTTTTTTGGAAGCTTATTTCGCAAATTAAAAGTATACGTATTCCGAAGCCAAGCTAGATTTGAATTTTGGTTTAAATGGAAACTACAACTATTATTTATTTTCAATTTCTGGCGAGTAAATTAAAGTTTAACAATTTAGTTAGCCGCAGTATTTGATCAAATTTAATGAAAAAGTTAATTAAAAGTAATGCGTAATAAAATGTCTTGTCTCGTTATAAATTTTCGACTTAATCTCTGGTGATTTATTTGGCGACACATCCAGCGGTATTACCGTCTGGCGGCAATGGCTCCTTCGCTGCTCTCTTGAGCATAACAACAACTTTCCAATTGCCACCGCCAGCGCTTTGGTTTGTTGGTCAGCGCTCCATAATTTCCTCGGCTGACTGTCTTTTTCGTCTATTGTCACTGCCAACTTAAGGCGGCTGCGCACATGCCAACTACACTGCCACGCCCCCAAAATCCAAAACACAGCACAATAACAATAACAACAACAACACGGCGACGACACGTTCAACGGCAATAACAACTAAAACAACAACAGTTCTGCCTCGTTTTGAAACTGGCAGCATAGGTAAAAGTTGTTTTCGATACGCTTTAATTTCGTTAGCTTTTTGGCCGCGTTAATTTTTTGCCCGAAATTAGCGCAAAAACACACACACCCGAAAACATTTAGCACTGCCCTAATCAATGTTAAGCCGAATTATGCACTCGATTTAATTTTGTAATTTTTACAGCACAGCCCCAATGGGTCTAGTGATATTGCCTTGGCTCCACAAAATATTTGGCCTGTGTTGCCAAAGCGAAACGTTAGCGACTTACAACCTGCGGGACAACGCGATCACCTGGCCAGGTGCGAAACTTAACTTGTTGCTCTGGCGCGCGGCCAACGACTGAAAGCCGAATCACAAACTGAAACTTAAGCGGTATCCGAATCCGAATCGAAGTTGCTATTGCGGTAAGCCGAAGAAACTCTAAACAAACGTTGGGACCCGCTCTTTTGCTCTCTCCACTTGTTTGGCAGCACTGGCCGAGCGGATAACGGTAAAAGATATAGCCGATAGACAATTCGGAAAATGGAAATATGCAATTTAAAATTATATGTTTAGCCTTTCTTCAGTTTAAATGGTTTTATGATAAACACAAACGATATATTTGGTTATGATCGAAAAATATATTAAGAATTCTAACACTTCTGTACAAATATAAGGATCAAAAAACAAATTTTCTAAAAAATTATTAAGGGGCTTTTTGAAATATATTCGTTTTGGGTCAACATTTATCACTCATACGCAATGTTGCTTTGGATCACCTTATTTATTCTTGGCCAACTATTTTAACCTATAATAAATAACGATAACAAAAACTAATTTTGTTTATTCTATATATAAAGGATACTTATCAGGTTTATTTAATATCCAGGAATATACCACCCTTATTAGCTATATAAATCTTTTTCTGTGTTATATATATGTTATTTATTTCTATTTACCTTATTTTGAACCCTCTGGATTTTTTTCTTAAGATAACGTATTTGTCTTATTTTAAATTATTGCTATCCGGGTGACGGTTTGCATTTTTCATACATGGACTGGAAAACGCTTGCGGCAGCTCGTTTATCCATTTTGTGAGTACTATAAGCAAACATTATTGGACGTTATAAAAATAGGACCCACAGACCTAGAACTTACCATATTTAGAGCCAGAAATCACTGGACAAGCTGAGTGCAGGGACTTCTCATTCACTGCCCCGGAGTTGTGAAGATTGTACCAGAAGACCGCCGAACCCTTCTTGGGCGTCACGGTGATATTAATCAACGGGAAAATGGTGTCGCCACCCGAATCCACATCTCCCAGCTGGAGAAATTCCAAATAAGATCAAGAAGTCTGCACTAAGTGGTACTAGCTTACGTAAAACAAAACAGTGGCTATGCGTTCTCCCTTTTCTATTCGGACCTGCAAAGATAACCATATAGTTTTCTTATTATATAAATTTCGTAGGAACCCTACCTTTTGCGGAAAATTAAGATAGTCTTGGTGCAACATGTAATTACCACCTATTCCGTAGTTAATCAGGGTGATCGCTTCGCTCATGTCCATATTTAAGCCGGTCATATCGGCCACCCGTTCTGTGAGAGATTCGTCTAGCGTTGTCGGGATATATGAGTCCTTGGAGCTTCTCACCACCGACTTCTGACCCACGTCGATAAGGGACAAAGAAAACTCGCTTGAGTTCATAATCAAATCAATTTCGCTGTCATAGATGACGTCGTGGAAAACCACCATGTATGGATCGGTGCTCAGCTCCTCCATTTTCAGTGGGGCGATCCTCGTGAAGGTCGTCGTGGAAGTGTTGTAGCGGCAAAGGAGTCGACTGGGTTTTCGGAACAAAGCACTGCAGTTCTGATTGGTGGCTAACTCCTTCTCGATGAACATATCTAAATCGCTGTAGCTTAACTCTTTTGGTTTTTTTCCAAAGTGAAATGAGGCGGCAGTTAGTTGTTTGTTCTTTATCAGGAGAGCTCCCCACGACGAGTGGACTGTGTAGCTGTTGAAATTAGTTTCGTTTTTGGCCAAGGAGGTATTAAACCAAGCCTCGGCACGATCTTCATTCCTGTTTCCTATGCAGAACTCTCCAAGAGCTAAGCAATCCCGAGCTGACAGTGCTGTCCTGGAAGTGTTTAATGATAGTTTTAAGCATTTTTTTTACCCATCTCAACTTACTCTGGCTTTGAGTGTCCTGCCAAACTCCCAGCTGCCATTTCTTCCGGCTTAAGGTCATAAAAGGACACAAGGTCATCGATGCCGCGACAGGCGTGTTCCAAATCCAATGCGGTGGGTAAAAGCTTTCGCGATGGGCCTTTTCAATGTGACCTGAATAAAATTTAAAATTTAAAAACATAAACACTGTTCTTTCGGCATTTAAGTATTGTTAATACCTAATTCATTATTTTTTGTGTTTAAGGCAAAGTGATGCCATTTCCTCCAATCCGTGTGTAGGCGATGTATCAAACGAAAACTGTTCACTGGATTTCCCAAGTACATTTCATAGTCATTTTGCATTTGGTTGTGCTCAGAATTCATGGTTATTAAGGAACTAATAAGCGTCCACTACTTGTCATTATTCGGGGAAAAATGATTGCTTTCTCTTACTGCTCAACCAAATGGAGTTTCCTCTTCAGTACTTCCACGTAACCCCTTAGATTATCGACCAGCTCATCCTCAACCTCGAGAAGTTTCATTAGTTCCACTGTTGAGGCGGCATAGGATTTCATTGGAACCACTTTGCCAAATATTTGGCAGATAGTTGTACAAACACTTAGGAAACCAATGAAAGTAAAATTCTGTATACTATACATTTCACTTATCAAACTTTTGGGCAAATGAATTCTTAACTTCGAATTAACTAACGTTAAAAAAAAGTAAATTAATATGCTCTAATTTAATTAGATGAGCCTACAAACACAAAAAGAAATTAAAGAACAAAATAAAACTTATATAGACATATATAATAGCACTGCCCCTGATTTTCTGTCAGTACTTCTCAGCTTAACTAATTTAAATAAACCGTAACCGTGACTACTTTGACGAATTGGCAAAGTTCTTAATAGTAAGTTGAGAAATTATTTGCCTTTTTGTTGGGGAACTGAAATGTTGAATTTTAAAGGTATTGAAATAATTGCCGTTTTAGGCGTTTTTCTTATTTTCAGCAATAGGATTGCAAGGGCGGCTGCAAAGAACTCCTATGCAGCCTCATCAGAGGAACTGATGAAGCTATTGAAGGTTGAGGATAAACTGGTCGAGAACCTAAATGGTTACGTTGACACACTAAAGAAAAAGCTGAACATATTGGAGCAGTAAGTACTTGAATACAATAAAATCCCTCAAATTATATTTTATGTACTTTATTACAGATCCCTAAAAACTATGAATTCCGAACACTACAAAATGAAGGATGACTACGAAGCTTACTTGGGAAATCCAGTGAACAGTTTTCGTCTGATACATCGTCTACATACCGATTGGGGAAAATGGCATCAGTATGGCTCAAATATCCATGAATTAGGTATTTCACATATAAACTTCCCACATAGATTTTGCAAATATTTAAGCATATATTTTAGAAAGCATTGAGAAGGCGCATCAGATGCGAAAGATGCTACCAACCGCGTTGGATTTAAAACAAGCCTGTCGGGGCATCGATGACCTGATATCCTTTTATGATCTGAAGCCAGATGATCTGGCAGCTGGTTTTTTGGCAGGATACTCGGATCCAGGGTAAATTAAAATATATAAATCAAAACAAGAGAAATTATCATTTATATTTTCCAGAACAGCTCTGTCTGCCCATGACTGCTTTGCGCTGGGAGATTTTAGCATGAACGATGGAAAGGATGATCGTGCGAAGGCCTGGTTAAACGCCTCTTTGAAGCAACTCAATGAGGAAAAGCTCCCGCACAAAGTAAATCCTCTTAGAAAAATGTCTGTCCTCAACACATGGGCAGTACTCCAAATGAAGAATCAAGAACTTGCTCACGATCACCACCACTTTGGGAAACTACCAAAAAAGGCAGATAGAAATTTTCTCTCCATATGGATTTATGAGGAGATGATCACCAAGCAAAAGTGCCGCGCCCATTACCGTCGGTCCAGTCGACTGCACTGCCGCTACAACAGCACCACGACGGCCTTTACCAGGATCGCCCCCCTAAAAATGGAGGAGCTGAGCTCCGATCCCTACATGGTGATTTACCACGATGTGATATACGAAAGTGAAATCAATTGGCTGCTAAGCACAAGCGAGTTCACCATATCCCAAGTCGGTACTGCGGGTACGAGGTCGGATATCCGATCCGCCAAGGACTCTAAGATATCATTGTCGAAAGGCAGGGTAGTCGGAACCCTTGGCCAACGGGTGACGGACATGACCGGCCTCAGTATGGAGATGAGCGATGAGTTCTCGCTGATCAACTACGGCTTGGGTGGTCAGTATGCATTGCACACCGACCCTCACGACCACATGAATGAGGTGAGATGCTGGGGGATTAGGTTGAGTTAGTTACCTGCTCAACTCGTTATCAAATATTTGCAGATTCGATGGAGAGATGGGGATCGCATAGCCACAGTTTTGTTTTACGTAAGTCGGCCAGAGTTAAAGCTTCCTTGGCCTCACTTACTTGGTTCTTTTCAGCTTGGAGATGTTGAATCGGGTGGCGACACCATTTTCCCGTTAATCGATATTTCCGTAACGCCCAAGAAGGGTTCGGCGGTCTTCTGGTACAACCTGCACAACATCGGCGATATGAATATTAGGGCCCTGCACTCGGGCTGTCCAGTGATAGTTGGTTCCAAATATGGTACGAGTTAAATCAAGATTAAAACTGAATTACATTATCTTGCCTTACAGTGCTCACAAAATGGATAAACGAGCTGCCGCAAATGTTTTCCACTCCCTGCATGAAAAATGCTGTTTATTCTGATGTTTAAAATCAGTAAACGGAAAGGAAACGATTATCAAACCAAACGTATTCCTTCATGATGCAATTTATATGTAAACAAAATTTATGAAACATAGAAATAAAGCGGATTCATTTAATATCACGCAAACTGTTCGCTTAAAGCCATCCATTCATTAGCTGGTTCCCGTCGCCGTGACCCGGGTGAGGCGATATTTTTGCACGGCATAGTGCGCCCCCTCTTCGGAGGTCAGCTGCCCCACGTACTGCTCCTTCACGAAGCGATTGCTCACCGCATTCAGAGAGTCCTTCAGGAAACCAAAGTGCACTATGGCATTGGGCACAAAGTTCAGCTCAAGGAGCGTTTCCTCGGAGGGCAGCACCTTCTTCGGCGGGATGGTGAAGAGGTGGAACTGTTCGCCTGGCTGGGCCAAGAACTCCCGAACAAACTCCTCCACCATGGACAGCGGCTCGTGCGGCTTGAAGATGCCCTGGAGGACGAATCGATCGGGGAACTGAATGCGCAGCACACAGTCCTTGTACTGATTCAGCTTGGCCAACATGGCCTTCTGGCGTTCGAGCTCCCTAAGCTTGGCCGTCAGCAAGGGAGCGTCGTCGTCTCCGCTCGAAGTGCGCTTCAAATCGCGCAGCACCATCTTCAGATCGTTGACGGTCAGATCGAAGAATGAGTCCGGCAGATCGTCGGCAATTTTCTTGGTCTCGTCCAGAGAGAAGAGTACTGCCTGGCGCGGTCCAATCACATTTACCACGGGCGGTGCTCGCCCGGGAATTTCCTCGGCTTCGTTCTCCGCCGGTTTTCGGCCCGCTGGATGGTGCATGGAGTATCCGGAGCCACTGCCCCAGTCGTACTTCGGTGCCTCTGGCTGTTGCTGCTGCTCCTGCTTCTGCTCGGATTTTTCCGAGGTCTGTGCTGGTTCACTTCCGGTGGCGTTTTCTTCAGGTGCCGTGCGCTTCAGATTCTTGATCATGTTGCTGGTGAGGGCAAAGCCACCGCCTCTTCCGCTGGCCGCCATTGCAGAGCGGGAAGTGCTGGGCTGGTCGTCGTTATCCACCGGAGTTTTGGCTACTGGAGCTTTGTACACATTGGCCTGGGTCTTGAGCTCCTCGGGCTTCTTGTCGATTAGCCGCATCATGGCGCGGCCCTCCAAGATGCCCAGCGATTTCAACGTGGTCTGGCGCATCTGCTCCTGGCCAATCAACTCGCTGCGCATGTAGACGATGACAGGGCTCTCGTAACCTTTGACCTGCGATTCGCAGAGCTTCTGCACCACCAGCCAAACGGAGTCGTTGGGCGAGAAGTCCGCCTGCTGGCGCGATCCGTCGTTCAACTGTATGCAGACAAGGACATTGCTCAGGGTGCGCCGCTTCTCCGTGGGCTCCATCTCCAGGACACAGTTGTTGGGCAGCCCACTGAAGCGGAACTGCTGCGTCAATCCGATCACCTTGTTGTGGAATTTGAGGCAGTGCTCCTCCGCCTCGAAGCCGTGCTTGGAGCAGGCCGTCTCCAGGATCTCCAGCAGCGTCATGTTCGCCGTCACGTTCACATTCTGCCGCCGCCCGTTGGGCAGCAGGATTGTGACGCGCTTGTCCATCGGATTGGCAAGTGCCCTGCAAGTATTCGGGTCGGAACGGAAACTACTGAACAGCAACAAATGGCAAACTCACCTTTTTATTGACGTTCTGAGGAGAGGCTACGTTCCGGAATATGCCGGCTGGAATCGGGATTTGTTGTGACTCTATCGATAGTTCCGGGGTTTGTTTACAGCGCTGCGTGACTTTCGCATTTCCTCCTGTCGTTAGAGATGCGCACCTGAACCAACTATCGGTTAACATCAGAGATGAGAATTACTTGATGAGAATTAATTCGATCTTGTATGTAAATAAAAAAAATAAAATATTTTATAATCTATTGAATTTAATTTTTAATTTAATAAAAATGTGGTTCAGCTTGTAGGCTGCAATAAATTTATGTGGCCCAGGCAAGAGAAGCACTTGAAAATATCGATAGATTTCCGTGACAGTTTTCCTGGATTTTTCTCTCTATCGATATCAGCTGCATGTGTATCGAATTATTATTGATTGCAGGAAGAAGAAGCAGCAGGAAAAGCAAAATAGGCGCAGCTCCTAAAACCAAACTGTTTTAAACGCAATATTTTGCAAAACTAAACGAAAATAAAGTTATCAGACCTTCAGGAAATTCACTAAAGATCGGGGAAGTCCCCATTAAGTGAGTTTCAGTATTTTGAACGAACCTTTCGAGTCCCGAGCCCCGAAAAGTTGCCGATCCAGTAAGAGATTCTTCGAGAAGTCCGTTCAGCCAAAAAGCCATCATGACCAATCTGGAGAAGCAGCACGAGATGGTGAAGCGCAGCCTGGTGCAGTTCATCAGTGGCCACATTCCAGGGGCCGACTTCAGCGTGGTGGACGAGATTGTACTGTCGTACATTATCTCGATTTTGGAGGAGGCCTCGCAGGACCCGTGCTTCGACGTGGAGGGCTTTGTGGAGATGATGGGCGCCTACTTCGAGGAGTTCTCCACCATTGACCAGGGCATCATCTGCGACTGGATCTACAAGCTGGCCAACGAGCTCACCGAGATGGAAAAAAGCCAAGGAGACCATGACAACATCAACTTGTCGTTCAAGTGGGTTTTAATTATATTCCTCCTACTAGAAACGTTTCATTTGATGCGTACTTTATCTGCAGCTCCTTGAGCCTGTCGAGTATTATTCCCGAGTCCAAATTGCGAGCTCGCAACTCGTCCACTTCTGAAAAGGACGAGCTCTCCTCAAACAGCAGCAGCAGCGGCGGTGGAGGCAACGGCAAGCGTTCCCAGCACTTGTCGGAAACCAGCGATGGAGGTTCCACCGACAGCTCCAGTTCCACTTGCGACTATTTCCTGGATGAGACCGAAGTGCTTCAGGAAATGTTCCCGGATTCGGCCATCGCCGAGGTAAGCGCTATATTAAAAACCAAGCGGATTCTAAAATGTATACAAAAGCTTTGACTTTCATATAAAATTCACTTTTTTGTTTAGAATAAACACTATTCGATTTGTAAAATTGAATTCATTAATTCATATTTTAATTGTAAATTAATAAACACTATTCGATTTGTAAAATTGAATTCATTAATTCATATTTTAATTAATCCATTTCCAGATCAAGCATTGCATCGCCATTTCCAAAGGCGACATCGATAGCGCAACTCAGATCCTCTTGCATCGCCAAGAGACCAACCAATGTATTACTGACAAGTCCCATACTACATACATCAAGAAGAATGTTGTAGTTGACGATAACGAGCTCAAAAATCGCATCATTGCAAGGTAAGTTATTTTGAGTATAATCAAATCTTTTTCAGTTTAGATAACAAATTGTTAATAACTATTGCGATTTAACTGGAACTTTCCTAACCCATTGAGTTAAAAACTATAAACTTGTAAATAAACTTGAGAGAAAAACAGACATATGAGATTAAGACAATACCCGCTTTTTAAAAACAAAGTAAAGCTCAAGCTTATTAATTTAATTTAATTTAAGCTGCTAAATTAATCAATTTTTATTATACAAATATCTTATAATTTGTACATGTCCCACTAGGTACTCTTATGTCGACAAGAACGCCACCCAGCGTGAGTACAAGCCTGTGGTGCCGAAGATGGAGCCGCGCAAGCTGGTCCGCTACCGGGACAATAAGATCGTATCGCTCAAGGGGGAGCGGTACACCGAGATCAAGCGTGACGAAGATGCTGAGTTAAAAAAACCCAAGAAGCAGATTCAACCGTAACTAAAGAGGAACAAAACCCTCTTCAAGTATTTTATCAAGAAGCAAATTAATCCACACCCCAGTAACTTATCCGCAGCCACGACACCGATCTCCGCCAGCGGCATTAGCTGCAGTTCCGCCGGCAGCAGCAGCAGCCATCCCGTAAACGGTCACAGTTTATGCAATCAGATGCATATAGTTGGGCTGACCGCCACTAGACGCCATGTTAGCACACATCCCAGCTCCATACCAGTGATCCCCGCCAAGCTTAGCCAACGTTTAGATGCTTCCCAACACGACGACGACGATGAGGTGCAAGAGTTCAGAGTAAAAGACGAGTCACCGAGCACAGCGAATCGGTTCCCATATCCGAGTGAGTATGGCCAGGAGTCTGTGGCATCGGTCGGCATGCTGGTTCTTCTGTTGCTAGTGGGCCATTGCCATTGGACCTCGACCTCTCCCCTTCATCGCGCCCATCCCCATGACAAAGACAGAAAGACTTTACATACCAAATTAGTTGATAGTTATGCTTTAGGACTACTACTCGCTTATGCAAATTTTGAGAGCTCATACGCCGTGGTGGCCGCCTGCTTATGAGTCCCGTTGCCGGGAGCAGGCGGCTCGGATGGATCTGGACTTGGATACGAATCCGAATCCCTATCCGTTGCCAGTTGTCGATTATGACGACTGGGGTCGCGCCTGCGCTGTGACTTTTCCTTAGTTCCTTACGCAAGCGAATTTGAATCGAACCGTATCTGTGAAAATCGTGAATCTCAAACTCTTTAATGTCCTCGAACAGTATTGTTAAACCTTCTTTGAACCCAAGGATCAGACGCAGGTGCGACAACCAACCCGAATTTGGCGCTCAAATAGACTTATTTAGACGTTTTTAGGTACTCGAATTGATTAATTTTGTTGGCCGTGTGCGTGTTTCAGAAACGCAGCTGCACAAGAAACTTGCCATATCTGTTTAATAGCCTGATTCCATTGTCGCATTAAAACGCATTTAGCCAAATGCTCATTTATTTACACAGGGAATCCCATAAGGCTAAATGCCGCATTAAAAATAAATGCGATTTTTAAATGCGATTAAAAACCATTCGCCCCGAACGTTTTTAGAAAAATAGCGGAAAATACCGATGTTTAACGATATTTTGGCTCAATTTTTGTTGTCTTTTGAATATAAAATCTATTTTGTATAAAAATGACAAACCTAGAGCGCACCCTGCAAATTCTGCTCGAAGTACCACAATGCATTACTGCTGGATCTCTTGCAAAAAATAACTCCCACATATACGGGGATCCTTGCCCTTTTTAGAAACTGTGGTGGTCTCCATTGCAAACCCGTCATAACAACGCAATCAGCTTCTCTTCTTTGTCGTCTCGGTCGCAATATGGATGTCCTGCTGAGCATTACAGAGTTTAGTAAACTCTCTCATGTTCATTAATTTTAATTAATTTCTTTTGGATTTGCCAAAATTCAAAAGTAAACAAGCCCAGATCATCTGTTCGTGCCACTCACGTGTCGGAGTAGCATTAACTAAATGCTAATGCGCCAATGGAATCAGGCACATTTAAAAAGTCCACTAATGCCGCAATGGAATCAGGCTATAAGATTTGTTAAACCATTTTGTATCGTGTAACACGTTTTGTTTCCCTTTGGTCCAAGCAAACTAGCAACAGTAATCTAGCAACAATGCCACCAAAGCCAAATGCAACACAAACTAGTCCTCACCGCCCACTGAGATATCTGGAACCCATAACAATTCGGCTACTGCTCGGAGTAAGACAGCAATACTAACAATAATCTAAACGTATTCAGCATATACACATGTATGAACTATTCGAATAATCAACTATTTATATAGCGTAGCATAGCCCCAAATCCTTCCCAATGATTGTAACGATTGTAACTCACAATATCACGGCAATACCACGCCCGATTCATGTTAGATTTAAGCATCCAGGATATTGTTCGGCAGCTTTGAATTTGTCACTTTTTTTTTGAGACAAAAGATATATACGTTTTATCACTTCCTATAATTTTCATAAAATAGCCTAAGTTTTAAGCCTCGACCATCGCTTTATGATTACGTAACCAATTGCATTTTAAGCACCTCGAGTTTTCTGATTTTAGTTCAGCACTACACGATCGGTGATTCGACCATCATATATATTCGTATTTATGTTCACCTGGTTTCGGTTTTTGATATTTACATCTTATATATTTTTAGTTTTATATATTATTTTTGTGATATTAGCGTAAAAATCAACTAAATGAAAAGGCAAAACACTCGAATTAAACTTTTGAAATTATTAAATAAACTATCAATATTTAACGCATAAACATTGGTTTTTAAGAAAATTGAGGTAAGAGTGGGAAAATATTAAAGTGTTATACATATTTCGTAAATCTGGATTCTTTGTTGGTAAGTAATATAAATATTTATTTAATATTGAAGTAATTTAATTTTTGGGTAAGTAGTAGCAATTTTTAAAACTATGGAATGTTTTTATTTACTATTTAAGTTTTTGTATGTTTTTTAATTAGTGAGGCGACACATTTTTAAATTAAAAAAATCAGAAAAAGTAGCGGGAAAGGCAGCACTGCTGAAATGAACTGGTTCGTAAAAGGTATACATAAGAATTCTTGGCAAAGCAATATGGCGTTGTCTCTAGGTCTGGCCACACTGCTGGCATAGGTTTTTTTCGCACAACTTTTTTTGTCGAGAAAAATCCACGTTTTGGGCCAAAATGACAACAATCGCGGATTTGTTCACAAAGTATAATTGCACAAATTGCCAGGACGATATACAGGGCATTCGGGTGCATTGTGCGGAGTGCGAAAATTTCGATTTGTGTCTGCAAGTAAGTAGCTCACACATACACGCTGTCAACCGACGCGCGTGCTTAAGTATGTGTGTGGAGGTAGGGTGGGTCGATTTTTGGGTTCTGGAGAAGTTTTTTTTAAGGTCTAAAAATTTTTGTAAAAAATTAATCTAAATTAAGGTTAATATATATCATTTAAATACAAAAATAAAGATTCTTTCTGTATAAAAAAAATCATTTAATAATATGCAGTTTCTTATTTAGATTGTTTGAAGATTCAAATCATATTAGGTTTTGTCAATGCATGTAAATGCATAGTCCATATATTAGGTAAACTTTTAGATGGGTGGTTGCAAAAGTAATTACTACAGTTCCTTTACCATAGTGGAGAGTTTTTAGAAGATTTCTTTTAACCCCAATGTATATCTGTCAACAAAGTCGACCCACCCTACTGCACCCATACTCGAACAATCTAGAGATGCGTCGCCAATTTGGAACCGAAAAACTGACTCATCTGGAAATTCGTATATACATACATATACACACAACCGGCAATTTCACCATGTTGATTAAAAAACAGCTGATTTTGTATTTACGTTGTATTATTGTTTATTTATTTGCGCAGTGCTTTGCCGCGGGGGCGGAGATCGGAGCCCATCAAAACAACCATGCCTACCAGTTCATGGACACGGGCACCTCCATATTGAGTGTGTTCCGCGGAAAGGGGGCGTGGACGGCGCGGGAGGAGATCCGGCTGCTGGACGCCATCGAGCAGTATGGCTTTGGGAACTGGGAGGACATTAGCAAGCACATCGAGACCAAGTCGGCGGAGGACGCCAAGGAGGAGTATGTGAATAAGTTCGTAAATGGCACGATTGGCCGGGCCACTTGGACGCCGGCCCAGACCCAGAGACCCCGCCTCATCGACCACACGGGAGACGACGATAACGGTCCGCTGGGCACCAATGCCCTGGCCACCTTGCCGCCGCTGGACATCAACTCCGATGAGGCCATGCAGCTGGGCTACATGCCCAACAGGGACAGCTTCGAGCGGGAGTACGATCCCACGGCCGAGCAACTGATCTCCAACATCTCGCTGAACTCCGAGGACACAGAAGTGGATGTGATGCTGAAGCTGGCCCACGTGGACATCTACACCCGCCGACTGAGAGAGCGAGCCCGCAGGAAACGGATGGTCAGGGACTACCAGCTGGTCTCGAACTTCTTCCGCAACCGGAACTACGCTCTCCACCAAGGACTCACAAAGGAGCAGCGCGAGTTCCGGGACAGATTCCGGGTCTATGCCCAGTTCTATACCTGCAACGAGTACGAGCGGCTGATGGGATCACTGGAGCGCGAGAAGGAGCTGCGCATCCGGCAGGCGGAGCTGTACCGGTACCGCTACAACGGCCTGACCAAGATCAAGGATTGCATCCACTTTGAGCAGCATGCGGCGAACGCAACGCATCGCTCCACGGGACCGTATGGCCACGGCAAGACCGTAAGTGCAAGGATTCACTGCGAGGGGATTGAAATCAAACTATCAAAACTAATTAGCAATACATGTTCGCTTCTGTTTTCTAAAAATACCCAAATTTTATTTTAATTAATCTGCCATAAAAAAGTTCTCTTTAATCAGTCCCTTAAATTAACTTTTAAAGAAACCATGCTATCAGATACAGAATAATAGAATAGTGGCTTTGTTTTTAATTCAAAACCTATAATTAATGCAAAATAGAATGATAGAAGGTAAAATAGCATAGTTTTGATTTCATTATCCTTGAAGTGAGTGCTCCTCCCATAAGAATGCATGACGAGTTGAATATCGTGTGTGCTGCCTTGCTTTTACCGACCTGACCTGACCTGACCCAAAACTTACAATCGCTTTTCCGTCTTGTCTCACGATATTCAGCTCCACTGCATAATAAACGCGCCAAACAACGAGCGTTCGAATGGTTCTATAAGACAATGTTTAACCACAGGACCACACGCAACCCTCCAATGGAAGTCAACGGCCGCCAAGCTCTTCCTTGCACTCCCCACAACCGAATCTCAGAAAGGTGTAAGTATTTCGATAAGCAGTTGCGATCCATGCATCAAATTTTAACTTAATCAGACCGCAACTCTTACCTTTAGGGGCGTTAATCCTTGATTAATATTTGGCTTTTATTCCTTTTAGAGAAATGTCAAGCGGCGTCGAGGCAAGTTCAAATTCAATCGCACCAAGAAACACGCTCCACATCGCCGACCCGACCTGCTCCGGCGCATTATTGCCCAGCAGAAACTACTTGGATAGCTGTCGGGGATCGTCGGCAGCTACGATGCTGCAGACGACGGGGATGGGGGTGGGGATGGGGATGGGAATGGGGATAACAGTGGACTCGGGAGCGACGACGGGAGTGATTTCCACGGCTACGACGATGGCGAATCTGCCCACGAACTCGGCGAAGGGAAGCCAACAACATCTGCAGCCGCTGCAGCAGCATCCTCAGCTCCTGCTAAGCGGCAGCCACAAAATCCAAAGCGAGGCCGCCGGCGGAAGCAGTGATCAAGTGCCCAGCATGAGCCTTAAGTTGCGCACCCAGCTGGAGGAGCTGAAGCACCTGCCCCAGCCGCTGGGCAGCGACCTGCTGAGTCACAACGAGCTGGATCTGTGCAGGAAGCACAACATCACACCCACCACCTACCTCTCGGTGAAGACTGTCTGCCTGAGCGGAGCACCATCGCTGGGCAGTCCCATGGAGACTTCGCTGCGCAAGTTCTTCATCAAGTGCGGCTGGCTGAGCCACTGATGGAACCACTTCCACCTTCCCGCGCCCCATCTGCTTTAGAGCTACATGCATTTCTCAATCTAAGGACTTCACTTTATTTAATTATCGTTAGCATAAGTTAAAGACATTTTTTATACTGTTCAACTTTTGTTGCCATTTTCTTCGAGGTAAAATCTACAGAAAACAGAAAATCAACTTACTTGTATCAAGTCAAGCTCAATTAGCTAAAGTTTTGTTCCTTTGTGTGAGATGTGAGGGTTCAGATATTCTGTATTAACTATGCTTAAGTAGGTGACCCAACCAATTGAATTTGTATGATATGAAGTGTAAATGAAGTAATAAATGTATTTCGAATGTGCAACAAGGACGTGACTTGTGTCTCGGAACTCACAGCTGCCAGGGAAACCGCTCTGGACTAAGCGCCACTAGGATACCACAAAAATATGTAACATTCTGTGCATTTTGCTATTTAGTAAGCCTCTAAAACGATACTGTCGCGCTGAGTATTTATGTCTGTATATTGGTCATAGTGGTAGGTAGATTTCTAGACAAGGAACTAATAGTAACATACATTTTTAAAGATGAAATAGATTGAAATCCTAACAATATTTTATTAAAATCTTAATCATCAGTTTGGTTCGACTTGTAAACAATTCATAAGCATAACTAGAGAAAAAGATAATATTTATCTCTAAATCGGATAAATAAGCATAAGTATTAAAGAATCAATATTTAATTATTTTTTTATTTGTATAAAAATTTGTAAAAAGATATTTTAACGCGTGAAATTTTTTTCTACGTTTTTTTTAATAAACTGTCAATGTTCAATCCTAGAAATCTAATCTATCCACGATTTTATGTATGTATCCTAGCTTAAGTTCGTCCAAAGCGGCGCCCTCAACTAACAATCTGTAACCGTATACCTACAAAAATATATCATATTTATAAACGGATTTATTCACTTTGTCCTTACAACTAGAAACGATGTGATGCTTGGATGCACTGCATCACTTGTTCCGCAGAAAGTAGCGATACAGCGTATTCTTCTGACCTCCGCTAGCGGTTGTGGCAGTGGCTGGGGCTCCACTTGCTATCGCTGTGGTTGTGGCGGCTCCTGTCCCATTGCTTTGCTCCACAGCCGCCACGAGGGAACTGCGCCACGATGCGATCAATTCAGTTTGCAGCTCAACGGGCAGCTCCTTGAACACCTCTGCATCCACGCCCGCTGGACAAGCGATATTCGAGAGGACATCGCTCGAGGACGTGCTGGATGTGGTGGTGACCACTGCTGCGGCGATGGGTGATGGGAACGACATGGTCGGCGTGCTGGGTGCGCTCATTGCCATGGAGTCGTCCATGGGCGACGGAAGTGGCGACGATGCCGTGGAGCTGGCGTTTGAGCTCAGGCGACTGGCAGTGCGCGTGGACACGAAGCGGAGGCTGCCGTCGATGCGCTGCAACAGTGTATTCGGTGGCTGGACGGTGCGAAAGCGAGGAGCCGGCGCGGACGTAGAAGTAGAGGGCGTGGTGCTCATGGGAAAGTCCTTCTCGCTGTCCCGTGAATTCAGACGAAGATCACAGACGCGCAGTTTGCTAGGTGAGGCCACCTCGGCAGCGGTATCCCCTACATCCGCCGCCAAACGGCTTCGCTTGGACACCAACAGCCTTCCGATGCGGCTCTTTTTCGGAGACGGTTCCACCTCAGTCTCAGAGAAGTCGCTGAAGTCGGAGTTCGTGGCCGCAGATTCGGAACCATTGTCCAGCAGCATGGGCACCGGCGACGCTGTTGTTGCTCTTCTCCTGTAGAACTGATCGCTAGGCTTGAATGTTGTTGGTGAGGAGCGGAAGGCGCATTCATCTGATGTCGGACTCTCCGCAGTGGGACTCGTGAGACTCGTATTTGTCAGGGATGTGATCGATTGCACCTCGAGATCCGCCTTCTTGATCAGGAAATTGGCAATGGACGAGGAGCCAACCTTGCGCTCCTGGAACTTGGAAAAGGCCAGACCCAATAGTGTGATGTTGAATGGTTTACTCATGTCCACAATACGCTCAAAAAGGCGCATCACAATCTTGAGAAGTTTGTCCTGAGCTCCGTCCGCCAGTTGAACCCTGCTCACGCCGGTTTCTCCTGGACACACGGAGGTCTTAAATAGGGAGGGTAGGATGTTGGCCTGTTTGGTCTCACGATGACTGCTCTTCTTCTGAGAATCGAACTTTCGCAGCACCACCTTAATGGCTATGGGAATGCGACCATCCTCAGCCACCTAAGAGATTCAAAGTAGGATTTATAAGCTTAATAATCATGTTAGATTAACAAAATAAGTATTTGTTATATTCGCTCAAAAAAGTAATGCGTATTTGTTAATCTAAAGAGAAGTATGGGCAGCAAACCAATAACTTATCAGTTGATTTTGTGATAACAATTCTACTTCGTTAATGACTTTTTATCTTACCTGCTCCACTAAACGCTTGAGAAGCATGCGAAATCTCTCCTCCACATCGGTTCGCACCGAAATGGGCTTGCAGGCGTCCTCCATGCCAATGGTCTTGGGTTTTCCGGTAGGACGGACAGAGCTCGTGTCGCGACCAAAGGCCAAGTCCCGCAGTCTAGTGGCCGTTTCGAAGCCGAACTTCTTGCGCATCACGTCCATGTCACATTGCTGTAGTTGTTCCACGGATGACATGCCTGTCTCCAGCAGGAGGCACTGAGTCTTCTGACCAATCCCAGTGACGCGCTTCAGGTCGCCCAATTCCCGCATAAACTGCTCTGCGTAGGTAGAAACAAGAACCGTCTGCTGATTAGGCTTGTGGCTGCTGCCGACCAGCTTGGCCAGCAGTTTGTTGAAGGCGATGCCGGCGCAGCAGGTAATGCCCAGGCGGAGCTTGAGTTCCTCCCTGATTTCCTGGGCGATCCGCGTGCCAATCGCCAGTCGCTGGGCACAGCCACAGTCGCAGGTGGATAAGGGAGTGCCATCCGCCGGGTAGGTGTGACCCACCGCCGGCTTCTGCTGGGCCTCAGCGGCATGAGCCTGTCGCAGCTCCACCAGCGCTGTCACATCCATGAAGTTCTCATCGAAGCCAAGCTTCTCCACCAGCGGAGTGTAGTTGAGTAGCAGGTCGAAGATTCTTTGCGACATCTGCCGATACGGGGCAAGATCCTCTCCATTGACCAGAACCAAATCCGGACAGATTCGCTGCGCCTCCGCGATGAGCATCAGCTTGGTCACTCCTTTGGCCCGCGCCACATAGTTGCAGGTGACCACAATGTTCTTCTGCTGAATTCCCAGAGCCTTAGATCGCAACGTGGGATCCCGAATCTCCTCCACCTGAGCGTAGAAATAGTCCATGTCCAGGTGGATTATGGTGCGTTGATGCGCCTCGCTTTTAGCAAGCACGCTGGCGAAGTCCATGATGGTTTTAAGCGCCTGCAATTGCGAAAGGTCATGAAATAGAATTCAAAGAGCAGCACGTAGTCGGTTATGGGATACCCTGTTTTGCGTATGCTAAATATGCTGCTTAATATAAAGTTTATGTTATTATACAATTTCGTAGGTTGTCAACTTTTACAAACCACGTAAAATTGTTTATTATATCTATGAACTCCACAAACTAGATTTTTAGGTGGCAACGTTATATAATTTAAGTTTTTTTGCATTGATCATCAAATTTTAGATAATTAATCGTAACTCTTGATGCAGACATTATAGAAAGGAAATAATAATCTAGAAAGCTGAATAACTTTCGACACTAAATCTTAATTTTTGACCCTGAGGTTGCGCTCGTCACCTGCTCTAAGGTCCTAGAGATTTTTTTTTGCTTGACACTTGTGATTCTCTACTAGTCTAGCATTACCTTATTTTCACAGGGTACTCTAAGATGCAAGTTGGGTGGCTGGCGGTGAAACAAAGCCAAAAACAAGAGAGAGCGCGCGAGAGAGTTTCACGAGAGAGTGAGAGAGGGGCTGCTGCTCCTCGGATGTGAAATCTCGAAATTTCTTCCTCTTCTCCACTGGTGCCGCCGACTTTCTAATCAAACATTGCGAAAAACATTCGCCAAACGCCAGTGCGCACACATACAACCCATAAACGAGTGCCGGCTAAACATTTACGGCGAGCCACAACAAAATATTGCACAAAGCTGTCTGTTTGGCGATGACGCATTAGTTTGTGACCGAGAAAACAGTAGATTTTGCACGTGATTTCAAGCTACAATATGGTTTACCTTTGTGTTGTGCCACAACTCACCGGAGTTTCTCAAATACACGATTAAAGGCTTAAAAACACGCACCTGCAGCAAATTGTTAGTTTTAATTGGGGTTTATATTTACCTTAAAAACTAGAGGTGGAGATACCCCGATGACCTAGAGATGAGACGATGATTTAACGCTTATGTAATCGATACAGGACCGATGAAATATCGTTCCCAAAAGCAGCCCTGGGTTCAAGACTTGGCTAACGTTCATTTATTAAGATCTACGTCACAATTGACCAACAAAAATTCCGTTATGGATTTGAATTAAAAATCCAGAGTTTATAAACAATTGATTCACATTTTTATGGAATAAATTTTACTGACTCAACACTAAAAAACTACTTCAGGTCTTGTTTTGAAACAACTCGTTTTCAAAAGGAATTGATTACTTATGAAGATGCGCAAAATATCTTGAATGTCTTCTTTTTATATGACTAATTAATGTGCTAATTAAGATCAGCCAAATCATGATAACTGTTTTATAAAACTTCCATTACCAAAACAAAAAGCTACACTTAGATTTTTAAACAAAACAATACTTTGGCAGAGAGGCCAAAAACTCTCAAATGTATGAAATATATATACCGCTATCAAAATTCAAACACTAAATTCAATTAATTAGTCTTGATACTTAAATTTAACAATAATATTGTGGTGACTTAAACCAATATCAATAAATTTGTGTGGTATAAGATTTTAAGTTGTTTGTCCTACTAAATTTTGAGTTTTTTTTAAGCCCGGTAATCCTGAACGTCAACACTGATAAAGTCGTCATAATAAAAACTGGTTGTCCTAAATAACCGATAGAATGAAATTAACATGACTCATAAATTAGCTAATCAAAACCAGTAACACCGAAATTTAGAAACAGTCCAGGGCAACGTTAAGCGTATAAATAGGTTGTTCATCTTCCATAGTGCATCGAAAATTTCTACGATGAAGATCTTCGCTCTGTGTGCTTTCCTGCTTTTGGCTTTGGCTGCTGCAAAGGCCGATCCCAAGCCTATTGGCAAATCCGTACTTACAAGTACCCAAGGATAATAAACATCTCTTTTATGAAAAGGATTTTTTAAAAGATGTTGTGCTTGTATCGATCAAAACTGCTATTAAATAAACCCCTTTACTGATTACAAACCTTGACTATAAATAAATTGGAAAATAAATAAGAAATAATGAGCATCATAAAGCATATTTTTTATTGGCTTTTGTACAAGCAGATCCCGAGCCTATATATTCGAACAATGTATTTAAAACAATGTATTTAGATGTGCATCTCATCTAATTTTTTTTTAATAAAAAATGTTGTAAGACAATAACTGTGCCAATTTTGTAAGATGATCGCTACTTATTTAACATCCTAAATTACGCATTGGGCTATAATAACGCCGTTGAGCCGAGCTTAAAATCGAACCAGTTCTCAGTGCAAAGAACAAAATTGTCTAAGCACGAAGTATGCAAATTATATATAAAGCTGAAATCGTTAAAATAAATCCGGTCCAACAATTACGAGTTTGATATAAAAAGGCAGTACTCGACTCAGACTAAATCAAAAGCCACCGAAATGAAGATCTTAGCTCTGTGTGCTTTTCTTTTTCTGGTATTGGCTGTAGTCCAGGCAAATCCTAAACCTTTAAGCCCAAAGACTATTAAAGTGGTCCACTAATCCCCAAACTGTATTCATCGTTATTGAAAAAAATAAATAATAATATAATAAACTAAACAAATGTGGGTGTTTATTTAATGTGGGAAAGTTCCTACATATTTATATATCCTCTCTGGAGTTTGCGATGTATTGCAAGGAAATAACAACTCTTTAAAAAAAAACAAAAAATTGGAAACTTGAGAAGTTTAAAATTTATATAACAAAAATCAATCCACCATTAAAAAAGAATGAATGAAATTAAATATCAAATTTGCAACTGAAATCAGTGAGCTTTGGGCTAAAACAAATTATTATTAATTGATTCGTAAATCAGATAACAACCAGTTATGCAACTTTAACTTGCTTAATTAAAACTACTAATAAATTTGATATAGAAACGTGCGACAATGAATTGTTCCTGTTTCAAATCGTTTGAGCGTTCAAATCTTATGGCCTTTATCCAGTAATGTTATTTACACCGCCTTTCAAATACAATTTTACAGATCTTAGCTTCGCATGTCAGCGCATATGTTGTTACTGCAATAATTTAACGACTGCCCAGCCGCGATTTTTAATGATATTCATGAGTTTTATATTGGAGCGGTCTTCAACAAGATAAAGGCGCGTACCAAAAAAAATAAAAATAAAGAGAATAATGTAATATAATAAAAGCACCACCCCAGGTGGGTGGGTAGCGAGTGGGGCGAGTGGTGCAAGTGGGGCAAGTGGGTCGAGGTATTGATGGTGTGGTCACGCGCTTTCTTGCCCCTGCCGCAAAGAATGTGGGGCATCGCAGCTTTATGGCTATCGTTTGTGGTATTGCCCGTGGTGTCGTATGAAATGCGCTCGGAATTCGCCAGCAGCATAGCGGAGTGAAAAAGAAGTAAAATATATACATTGGACAGACCTTAGCCTTGTTGTCCACTCCTCCTTACTCCTTCCAAAACCGAAAGCCTCGTCCTGCGCCCATGATAATCGACCCGCTGGCTGCCTGACAGGCAAACAATGCTGTGAATTTGATTAAAATCAGCCAGCGTGTGCGTCTCTGCTCCTCGAGAGCTCCTTCGGCTGGCTCAGAATTTTGTCGTTATTGGAGCACTCCCAGAAACACACTCATGACCATCTTGTTTGTAGCCCCACTCAGCTGCAGGCGGTGCTGTGGTGCTGCGGTGGTTCCACTAATTGCGAATCGCCAAATTTGGCCTGGGAAACTCCTCCATCTCCTTCTGCTGCCCCTCAAAAAATATTGCCGCTTTAAAATAGCTGAAACTGAATATGGATTGCAATGTATAACCATCATTACGGGGGTGAAATGCTGGGGGAGTGTTGGGGCAGGAAAATGCATTTCTTTATTCGTTGCAATGGCTGCTAATGACCTCCAGCTGCCAGGCTGAAACTTACGCCACTTTTTCAGTTTTTTCAGTGAGAAAAATAATGTGCTTTAACCGGGCTATAACCAGTAGCAGTATAAAATGTTATACGTTATAATAAAAATTCTCCAGAGACTTATTATTCACGTTGTAGACAATTTCTGAAAATTATAATTAATAATTATATAGGTATAAGTGTAAAACACAAAATTAAAAAAAAATATTTTTCATTAAATCTTTATTTAAGTTCAATTTTAAGCATGATAAATAATTAATAGATTTTCTTATTAAAAAATAGTCAAAAAGATATTTGGAGTAGATAAACTATTTATCACGTTAAAAAAAGAAAATATTATAAAAATCAAATGGTTAAGGACAATTTTAAGGTTTATTTGCAGTGCTAGTTCTGGCGCTGATTTCTTGTGAATTAGCAATGAGGCTAAAAGCTAATTAGTTGCCGGGATTTCTGTTCAAGCTCCTCGCTGAACCCCATTGTCCTTCCCTTTCTCTAGTTTCAGTGGAGCGTTAATTTTTCCTCTGGATTGCACACAGGAGCCTCTTCAGATGAATGGATGGGTGTAGATGGTGGGTAGGTGGGTGTGGGGTTCTACCCACCCAGAGGACCAGGGGATCATCCACACGGCGAAGCGAAACGGATGTTCCCGCGCAGCGTTTCCCATCCACTTCCCACCCCCCAAACACCACCCCCACCAGGTCATCCTGAATCTCGCTTTTTCCTGCCAGGGGGTGTGTGTGTATTTGTGTGTGTGTGTGTGTGTGTGTGAAAGAGAGATGGCAAGGGGGCAGCAAAATGTTAATAAATCTTATTTTTATCATTTGGCTATAAATACTGAATTTTTAGCTCCGGCCATGCTCAATTTATGGCCATTATTTATGTCGGAAAAGCGAAAACCTCAAACATGTTGCCACACTTTTTGCCCCACCACCACCGCCGCCTTTTGGCCTGCATTGTGCATCCATTTTATTTGCCATTTCGGCCAAGAGAAAGAAAGATATACACAAGCCATATTATTGCAATTTTCCAGTTGCTCCGCCCACGCCGCAAATTCAAGGCAGCGGAGCGAAAGGCGAAAGGCAAGAAACCAAACGAAACCGAATGAAATATGAAAAATTGCATTACACCTTAATAAACACCTCACCTGGCGAGTGGGAGTGGGATCGAACCTGGAACTGGAGGGGCTGTGTGGCTGTGTGGCTGTTACTACCAATATCTCTCCAATCGCAAAGCGCAGCTCCAGCATTTGCAGCTGTGAGTGCCCCGCAGTTTGGCCATAACATAATGAAGATTGTCTGCGGCTTAAGTGGACGCACATTGCTCAGCCGCCGGATAGCCATGTACCCAGATGGATAGCAACACATCCACGGGTGATGAACACTCGAAAAAACGAAGTTTTAGTTTTTAAAAAGGAAGAAGTTTCCCTTTTTGCACACTAAGACTAAACGATTTTTGGTCATTTTTTTTTTGGATTCTTAAAGGTATTAAATATTTTATTAAGAAATGTAATTTCTTAAAAGTATTTTAAAAAAAATATTATGGTACAAAAGTTGTAAGTGCTGAAAAATAAAAAAAAATTTTAATGTTATAGAACTTTTTTTTGTATTTTTAAAACTGCGTTACTATTATCTTCCTTAGATCTTATATTTCATTATAAGGTACTTTAACATAATGGATAATGGATAAAAATGAAACACTACATATTAGAACACAGATATATTATTAAGTGAAGTGAAGGACTATAGTTTCAAAACTTCTAAGTTTTTAAAAGCAATGTGTACTCAAAAAAAATATTTTAAAACTAAGCTTGATATCAATTTTAAAGTAAAGTATTGCCCCGCGTTAAAGATTTTAAGGACTTCAAACTTCTTTTTTCTTTAAGTGCAGTGAATCTGGACTGCGATTGGCATGGGAAGCAGGTCCTTTCCCCTTTTAAGGAATGGGGGACCCGAAAGGTACAACTGCGATCGCGATCACTTAGGCGCTCATCTGGCATAAAATTGTTAGAAACGCCCCGTGTGTGTGCGCCCCTGGGTAAAAGG